TTCTAGTGACCACCTAGTGACCACCAATATTTGGACACTAGTTGTATTCAGTGACCAAAATTGATATTTTTTGTGACCAATTTGCTGGCCAAAAATAAACGTTTTTCTTGTAGTGGTTGTGGGTCGTTAAAGCAGAGTGAGTTACAACCACCAAGAGACATGCTTGTACAATTTCAACCTTAGAGTTTGACATCAGTCATTGTAATTTCTTTTACATGTATTTATGATATTGTGACTTTTTCAGTCATAATAATAAAACTATGAATTATTTATTGTACAATGCACATTGTTTTCACAGGGTTGGGTATACACATGGTTTGTGAAAAAGCCCTATGGACCCAATTATTTTTAATTACAAGTTTTCTTTTGATTTAGGGTTAAATTTTATTTTTAATCTGTAAAGAATTTGTGAGGGCAAAACTCAAATCAAACAAAGAATGAGTTATCAAATTGTGTCAGCATGTGGGGTCAACGCTTTCAGCTAAGCGTATTCTTCTGATATGCATATATTAGTTTAAACACACTTAATCCTTGAATTTCGTCATCATGAGTATTTCTAAAATGCATCTATTAGTTTCTTCAACTCAAGAGTTGGCCAATGAATCTGTGAAGTCATATGACTTGACAATTTCAAAGGTTTCCAATCTTAATTTTTAAGGTATTGTCAATTCATATTTCCTCAAATCCTTCCTTGTCTGTCTGTTCTGTGTATTTCTTAGAGCAACCATTTCAAAGTCTTCGGTTTAATTTACTCTTAGAAGTCATATGTTTGTTTTGATATATTTTTCAGGACAGAGACATAATTTTTTGATCTTATTCCACTCTTCACCTAGCATCCTTTATTGCCTTAGTTTCTTTTTGTTCTATATATGCATTGCAGATTCTTTCATCCCAATCACCACACGAAAATTCTCATATATACTGCTCGCAATGTCTCTATGCAGGCTGGCAAATTGTTGTGTTACTCTCTTCATTTTCATCAATCTTTTCCTTCCCTTTGCCGTTCATCCCCTTTCCTTCCATCTACGTCAATCCGACTTTACTAGTACAAACAACATAACCTATGAAGGTGCTGCCAATATTTCTTCAACCGGAGTGATTGAACTCAACACAATCAGTGAACATTTTCTCGTTGGCAGAGCTACGTATGATGAGGCTTTGCACTTATGGGACTCTATTAAGGGGTCTCTGGCAGACTTCACCACCAACTTTACTTTCATTGTCGACACTCTTAATAGTAGTACCAAGCTTGGTGATGGATTTGCATTTTTTCTTGCTCCTGTTCATTTTCCAATCCCACCTAATTCAGCCGGTGCTCATCTTGGATTGTTCAACAGCACCACTCGCTTTGCAGCCTCCCAAAATCAAATTGTTCTGGTTGAGTTTGACAC